AAGCTCTAAAAAATATATATATTTTTTTTTTTTTGTTTGTTTGTTTGTTTGTTTGTTATTATGTGTGTGTGTACCTGTCGAGCCCTCAGAGTGAGGACCATTCTCTAATTTCAACTTCAATTTGAGGACCAGTTGTTGCAAAGTGAGGACATTTTGACGGTCCTCACATGTTATTTTGCTAATGGTTTGGATTAGGACTAGGGCATAGAAAGGGTTGAAAAACACTGAAAATCAATGGAAGTCAATGGGAGTCAACACATGGTCCTCACTATGACTGCAGAACGACTAGGTGTGTGTGTGTGTGTGTGTGTGTGTATAGAGAGAATAAGAAATATGTGTACATTTTTGTGTATACTTGTAGAAATGTGTTTGTGTATATAGTAATAAAAAAATTATATCAATGTATGAGTGGCTGTGATGTGCAACATACATACATTCCATCTGAATATTAAATAACTCTTAACCCCAGTAAAAAATATTTAAAATGCACTAAACTATTTTTTTGTTTTCAGCAAAAAAACAAAAACAAAAAAAAACTGACAAAAGAACGTGAATATTTCTTCATTATTCGGCGAGTTAAAGTTGATTACAATTGATTCTGTGTCTGCTCACCACATTACACTGAGCAGAGCTGTCATCTGTCGACCGCCTCAAGATGGCGCCACCAAATTACATCAGCGCCCAAAAGGATGTCTCAGCTTGGGCGGCGGTCGCTTCGCCCTAGTGCTCGACAAGTGTCTGTGTACCGTAGCATAACATTGTTTTTGGACAGTAAAAAATGCAGGGGAATTTCCCCCTGTGTCCACTTGTTTTGTGTGTTTTTTTCAGTTTTTTTTTTATAAACGTTTGTAAAGTATTATGTTGCTTGCAGATTGCTTGAAAGTCTACTGTGAAGTTTTCAATAATAGCAGAAATGTCTATTTTTTTGTGAACAGTAAACATATCACACTGTAAAACTGAATTGCTCAACAATTATATAGCAGGAGTAGTAAAAATTTTAAAGAAAAAAAACTATTAGAAATTGTACCATTGTTAATATATATTGGATTTATTTTGTATTTTTATCAAACTCCAGAAAAAGCAATTTGAAAGAGGAAAATAAGTCTGAAAGTAAAATGAATATATTGGAGACGATGGTGTAACTGTGATGAAAGTTGGTGGGGATACTCAGGTGGGGGCTGATGGACCTACTGTACAGTTACTCCACCTGAACA